CCATGTGTTTTTCACCTGGATTGTGCATGAACTGACTAACCACACTAAGAGCATAAGCTAAATCTAGTTTGGTGTGTGTGAGATAGATCAATCTTCCCACAAGTCTCTGATATCTTCCTTTGTTAGTTGGAGTTTGATCTTCTTCAATGTGAGACCCGTTCCCATTTCTCTCCCTCTCATTACTCAACTCATACTTCCTTTCTTCCTTCACTTTGATTTTCTCTCTCAAATTCCCTTCTCTCTTTAGCTGAAGCCGGGAGAAACTAGGAGATCCTTCTTCTCCTTCCTCTTTCGTGAAGCCGTGTGGAGTTCTTCTTCATCTTCTTCTTCATTTCTTCTTCCTGGAGCTCGGATTTCTCGCACCGAGGTAAGGGAAGCTAGTTTTCTTAGTAGATTTTGTTGGAAATGAGTTCTTAAACTCATGGTGTAGTTGATTCCTTGAAGATTGATGGCTGTATGTGATGAAAATGGGTTTTCAGGATTTTTGGGGTTTGATGAAAAATTTGGGATTTTTGATGATTGATGGATGCATGTTGAAAAAGCTAGTATTTTCGGGTTGTATGCTGAAAATGTGATGTTTTGGACTGATTGCATGTGCCTGGGATGTTGATTTGAAAAGGGGAATCCATGTGTGAATCACGCCGGGCGTGGGGAGAACCACGTCGGGCTCACTATCAAACGTGAATCTTAATGCGCCGAGAGTGCATTTGATTTTCAGAATTTGACTTTATAGTCTTCATAAACGTTGTAGCCTTGGATGTTAGCTTTCCAATGGCGCTGGAATCACCCAAAAATAAGTTTTAGAACTCTAGATATGACTGTTTTAGTGAAGAGGGGTCGAGCTGCTAGCATTGTTTATAGCTGTTGAGGTTTTTATCATTTTTAACAAGGTATATGAAGGAATTTGGACTTGGTGTCTTCTTGAGAGTTGTAGGAAATCTTCTTATCTTTCATGTGAGATAAGGATGAGCATGGTAGGAGTAGTATAACTCCTGATACGCTGTTTTATGTGAAGGTTGCCATTTCACAGTTAGTGATTTGGTTAAGTTGAAAGTTGTTTTAGGTGCTTAGGTTGATTGGTGTTGTTTGGGTGGGTAATTTGGCATAATAGATTAGTTGTAAACAAGATGTATGAGTTGTATTATGTGTTGAACATGTTGTACGTTGTGAAGTTGTTGATCATCCTGTTAATAATGTTAAGCTGAGTTATGTTGAATGTTGTTGAGCTGTTATTGCTGTTAAGCTGACTGTGCTAAATGTTGTTGAGTTGAGTGATGACTTTGATGTGCTGTGAGATGTTTATGCTGCATTATGATGTTAATCTGTATTTGATGTATATTATTGTGTTGTAAGTTGTTTAGTTGTGCTGGATGTTGATATTGTTGTGTTGTGCTGAGCTGTATGTTGTTATTGCCGCTATGCGGTGCTGTTATTGCTGCTATGCAGTGCTGTGCTCCGTGCTGTTAGGAGCTGTTGTAGGCCGAAAGGCTGAGTTGTTGTAGGCCGTAAGAAAATATTTCTTTTCATTGACTAAAATTTGGGATGTTACAGACCTTGAGAAGATTCAAGGAAGACTTCCAGATTTAAATGGAGGAGCAATGTTGAACTAGAATGAACTAAGGTTCTTGGATAGAAGTAAGCAAGCATAAATCTACAAACAGAAAAAGACTCAAGGCAACAAGGAGAAAGATACTCTCCTAAGGTGACTTCGGTTTAGAGAAGATTTCTTAAGAAAAAGAATTTCTCATTCAATATCTAAAGTAGTGCAATTACACGTCCAAAGTGAATATATAGGCTAAGGAAGTGTGCTAGGGAAGCTTGGCTAACCTAAGGTTTAATCAAACCATGGTATGATTAATTAAACCTTAGGAGCCAAAATTTGAATGTTTAAATTCAAATTTTGGAGCCAAACCGGATCACCCATGTGCTACTTGATTTGAATGTAATTTGGAATTCATTTGAGAGTAAATTTCGGACCCATGTGCTTCACACACATGGTGTGACCGAAATGCACTCTAAATGTAATGCTAAATTACATTTAAATTGAGATGCACATAAAACTCCTTTTATCCTAAAATTCAAATTACATTGAAATGAAATTCCTAATCAACTTACCCAAAATACAAGGCACACAAATCAAAATTACAAGCCCAATGGGCTAAACCTAATCAACATGGGTTTTAATGTATAACCTAACTAAAAAGAACTATGGACTTGTCTTTAAAAGTGGCCTACTCTTCATGCATCCTCTTGACCATAGTCTTAGTAATTGGGCCTTTGGCCCATGAGCCTCCATCAATTGGCGAGGGAAATATTCCCTCTCCCTAAAGTAGGCTTTTTATTTTAATTATTGTAACACATTAATAACCAAAATGTAACGCCTTAATGTATATAATAATAATTATATATTTTCTTATAACATATTCTCGCAATTATATCATTAACAATATATATTTATTTTAATGAAGATAAAGATAAAGAAAAAAAAATATTTTGTACATGACATATCGTTCTAAAATATTTAGAATAACGTGCTATTTTACACATTATTTCTTTCTTCCACTTCTATTATAATATTTACATTGATAGTGAAAAGAAAATTACAATTGAAATAATATGGTTGACAAATAAAATTATAACAAATCCATCAAATAGTCTCCATATTCCAATTTCTCCCAAGTAAGACAGCGATAATAACAACTGCAAAATGATCTGGAATCCCAAGTAGATTCATCTATTTTATAATATATTTAATTTTAAAAAACAAAGAAAAGAAAGGAGTGAGAACAATATCCAAAAAAAAATACAATAATTCAAAAGAATATACAGAATTATTTATAATCAGTATTATATATATATATATATATACAGATCATATATTAGATTTTTATGATATAATAAAATTTGAATTATACTTGTAGTGACTAGTCAGGATAAATGAGCATCATCATAATATCAACCAATAAAAGGATATTTCACCTTAACCAACAATAGGATATTTCACCTTCTTTTCTTACTCATTTAAATCCCCAAGGTCAAACTTCCAGCTACAAATAATTCAAACTTCATCTTCTATGGCCATAGAACAATATTTATCTTCATAAATACGTGAAGAAATAACAACAAAACGAGTCCAATATATCACAACTATAACATAGTTGATTATAAATATATTTACAATAAATATATCTATGTAAAAAGAATATATTAAGAATACAAATGATATAAATAAAAATGAAAATCATTATAAAATAATTAAACAATATAAAAGATGAACACCTTAATAATTATTATGGATAAAAATAATCATAAGTTAAGCAAATAAATGAGGTTAGGGACACCCCACTGAATAAATACACATAAAAAAATAACATAAATATATAGATATAGTAATATATAAAATTTTAAAGAGATAAGATTTTCCTCCCCCTTACCTTGAAATGTAGATTTATCAAGAAGTGGTTGTGTAAAAAGAATTTCTTACTTCGCTCACTGTCTCTCTTTCTTTCTTCTCCTTTTTTCTCTCTCTTCACTTACGTCTCTCTATTGCTTCTATTACCGTCAGTCTTTGATGTCTCCAATTTTACCACAATTAAACCTATTTATAGCACTCTAAGTAATGATTACATAGTTAATATGTAATGGTAAAATTAATACAAGTTCGTTCAATTACACCTCCGTTGGTACCTATAGTTACAATTAGATAATATCGGAATTGATTTGAATTCCGCGGGATAAGGTGCTGAGTTTGGAGGCTTATCCCTGCACTTCTTATCCGTGCATTTATTGCATTGGATTTTTTTTTTTAAATTAAGAAAAAATTTTGCCAAGAAAAGAAAAAAATGGTGATCCGCATATATATACATATATATATTTATACGTATCTTTATATAATAATTCAAATGTTTATTAGAAAAATAAAAATTAAATTTACCAAATATATATATATATATATATTGTAATAATTTATAATTAAAATATTATTCTAAAATAATACATCATAAACAAGATTTTTGAATCTTAACTAAATATTATCTATTTTCATTTTAATTTCTGAAAATTTTGACAATAAAATTTTAATGTATTAAAATTATAAAATATCATGCTTTAAAAAAATTGATTACTATTTTAATAATAATATAATAATATTATATTTAAATTTTAGGATGTTACACAAAATATGTCTTTACTAAAATAAATTTTATTTTCTTCATGTTTATGAGGGATTGTTGACGAAACTTTTCCCTCGCTAAAGCAAATTCACTATTCTTGACTTTTTGCAAAGAATTAGTGAAGAAATTTATCTCTTGTTAATTATTTGCAAATGTTTAACGACAAAATTTGTATTTCTCACAAATCTTTAACTAACTAGCTTGAACTTATAATGAAAGAAGTTTTCACTCGCTAATTAGCAATTTTATTTTTTTGTAGTGAACCACTAAAACCTTGTTAGGATTGAAAAATTCTTTATTGAGGTTTTTTGCTTTTTTTAAATTTTAAACTCTAGCAAATGTATAGTTATGTTTGTATGTAGACTAGTCAGTTTCCAACTTTTCATAATTTGTCTTCGATTATTATTTTCTGATAGATTATCCGTTGGTCATTATCATGACTACTGATAGATTAAAATTTACTAATGGATTATTTTTTTCTGATGACCATATTTTTCATCATTAAGTTTTATTTTTTTTTGACAGATTTACATGGTTACAAATTTTGACCATCAATATATAGTCCCACTTTTTCTTATAGTGCTTGAGACAATTTCTAATACAAAATCAAAAGTAGAACTGGTGAAATGAATAAATAGATGAAATATATGAGCACTTTGATAATATGCATGCATGAAATGTATTGTCCAAAAATAAAGCACAAATAATTGAGTTCTTTTTAATTATAAAAATAGTTTATACAATGTTTTAATAGCCACCTTAATATTATTGACAAACATATTTGTATTATTATCTTATCTTTAATAACTCATAAGTAACTGCAGTTACATTAACTTGTAATAATAACTACCTATTCCATTAATGTGAACATTGATCTTAATCTTTAACTCTTATCACTCACTCAGTACTTAGCTTGCTAAAGGATGTCAAAAGATTGGAGACTAAAAGTAGTTCGATATACTCAATCCAATTGAAGGAAAAATGCCTTGCATTTTGATAAGAACAAAATCATACCCCGATAGATATTGATTCAAACAATATAGTCTTGAACCATATTAGTAATTTCCACCTAAGCACCAATTATGTAAACGAAATCTTTCACTAATGCAATGAGTTGTTTTACTTTGGATGGCTCAAAAATTTCTACCCCATGGAACCCTTCTTCTTCAAAGTCCTTCACTACTTGCACCCCTTTTTCCTCCATCAACAGTGCTATCTCTTTCTCACGATCCACGAGTGGATCTCCACCATTTCCACTCACCAATACCCTCCACCCAAGCTCCTTCATTTTATCAAATTTCTCAACCCCATTCCCTGACCTTAGATTGCAATATTCATGGTCACGATCAGCACCAATTGGCAGTGCCAACTCCCACATCAAATCAGAAACACACAATGGAATAACTGGGTTATTCTCAAGCATTACCTCTGATTCAGTCCTCTGCATCCCACCAAAATATGGTTGACGCAATATCAATCCTTGGATCTTTAGTGGCTCAAGATCACTCACCTCCTCAATTGCACGTAGACCTAGAAACAAAAAAATATTATGACTCAACATTCATTGCTTCCTTTAAAATTATTTTTCTTGACATGTTTGAATATTTTATCTTTTTCTTTTGAAAATGTTAAATGAAAAAAGTATAAATTATAAAATATTGTTTAATATTAATTTCATATTATATCTATAGGGGCTTAAGATCGTTACACGTATTAAAGAACATTTCATAAATATAAAATATTAGTATATTTAAAGTAAAAAATATATTTTTTTAATTATTCTAATAATCATTAAAGAAAAATATAAGAAAAAGTATATATTAATTGAATTTGTAAAACATCAGTAATTTAAAAAAAATAATAAAACAAAAATATAATCTTGAACATGTTTTCAGTCTTCGGGACGAGTTTTGATTTGGATTATATATATATATATATATATATATATATATATATATATATATATATATTCTCCTTTAAATGTAAAATTAATATTTCTTAAGCTTAACAATTATTTATTTTAAGGTAAAAAATAATATTTATTTTACACATCTAATATCTTTTAAAAAAAAAATATCACAGTGACAATAAACCATAGATACTATATAATAAGTGCTACTTAATAATCACTTAACTTTTGTTAAACATCTAAACAATTAACAAATGTTATGTAATAACAAAAAAAAATTATAGTTTTACTTGAAATGAAAGAAAATTTGTTTTTTAAGAATTAAAGTTAATATTAAAACTCATTTATTTTATAGCAAATAAAAATATATTTAAATTATATAAAAGAAAAAGTATGATTAAAGAGAATACTTTTTTACACCAATTATTTTTAGTCTTCATTTTTAATAAAACAATTTTATCTTCCAAAACTTGTTTAAAAAATAACTCCATTCATTTCTACTAATTTTTTGTTTTCATGTTTTAATATCTTCTTCTTCTCTCACTATAATGCATTAATCAGTACTCTCAAAGGTTTTTTAACTTATTTATTTATTTTTTGATTTTTAGGAAATGCATAGAAAATTAAAAAACATAAAAACGATTCAACATTTTCACACAAACCTGCATGATAAGCGATGGTGGCCCCAGCGCTACTCCCCATAAGATAACACTTTGAATAGTCCACATATCGCGTCAACCACTCTTCGTCGCTCCTTCCGATCCACCGCAGCGCCTCCACGCCGTCCTCGTACGCCGCCGGGAGACGGTGCTCCGGCGCGAGGCGGTAGTCGACGGAGGCCACAACGGCCTCTGCGGTGTTGGCCAGTTCGACGCAGAAATCATGGAACATGGACGTGGCCGCACTCAGCAGCACGAAGCCGCTACCGTGAAAGAAAACAATCAGAGGAAGCTTCTTGGAAGAGGATAATGCAACTCGGGGTAGGAATAAGCGAAGCCAGGTGTTGTTTCTTTGGTTTAGGGTTAGGTCTTTCGTCAGAACTGGAATGGGAAGAGTGGGGTCCGAAGAGGGTTCGGTGCGCGGAACGGCGTCGTTTAAACGCGTTAAGGTGCCGTCGGGGTTGCGGAGGAACTGTAGGTACTGGTAGGGGTCAACGGCTTCATTTGACATGGTGAAATTCATGGGGGGAGATATAACTTGTTTTGGTTTATTGTGCACAAAGTCTTGGGTGCTGTGATATATATATATAGAGATATAGAGAATTTCTTCGGTACATTCAATTATCGAGAAATTTTGGTATGATGTGTTGTATGTACTTGTTAAAATCTACGTTAATTTTAAATATTTATTTAAAATTCACGCGTCAGTTTTAATTCTTTACAGTTAAAGTTTATGTTTTTTTTTATTTTTTTCTGTAACTTTTTCGCTTCTTTCTCGGTTGTTCTCGTTTCCTGCTTTTTCCCTTTTTTTTTTTTTTTTTTTTGATTTTGGTTTTGGTTTTTTTTTTTTTTCTGTTACTGTCTCACGCTAGATTCAATTTTGAGAGTTCAAGGAGCGGGCGGGTCTAAGGGAAAAACCAATAGATCCGTTAAGGCCACTCCTTAAACAGGACTTTCGGTCAGTTAAAAAACCATAGGTAGGTATGCGTGATATAATCAAAAAGAGAAGACCCTTAAATCTACTTGAATGGATCTTGGCAAGGCGGATCGAAAATCATTAATGCAAGAATAAAGACCCTTAAACATACACTTATTTGATATATAAGATTATTATTTTGGAGTTTTATTTTTAAATACTTAAACAATTTAAATTTGTACCTTGAACTCACATTTTTTTTTTTTTTTTTTTGTTTTTGGTTTTGGTTTTTTTTTTTTTTCTGTTACTGTCTCACGCTAGATTCAATTTTGAGAGTTCAAGGAGCGGGCGGGTCTAAGGGAAAAACCAATAGATCCGTTAAGGCCACTCCTTAAACAGGACTTTCGGTCAGTTAAAAAACCATAGGTAGGTATGCGTGATATAATCAAAAAGAGAAGACCCTTAAATCTACTTGAATGGATCTTGGCAAGGCGGATCGAAAATCATTAATGCAAGAATAAAGACCCTTAAACATACACTTATTTGATATATAAGATTATTATTTTGGAGTTTTATTTTTAAATACTTAAACAATTTAAATTTGTACCTTGAACTCACATGTATGTATAGCCACCAATAATATATATATATATATATATATTTTTTTTTTTGAATCATACGAAAATTAAATAAGATTTTGAATCTGAGTATAAATGGAATAAACATAGTTTATAAGGAAGATTATACTAAAAGCGACAATATATTTCGAAAGAGAAATAAAATTAGTTATTGATAAAACTATATATATTTCGTACTAATAATCTGACATTACTAATAAAAAATAAAATAATAAATATACTATTGAAGAGATATTTAAATAACTAAAAATGATCAAAATATTTGTAAAAAAATTAAGAATGCCTCAATAATTTTAGAAAAATATATAAATTTAAGATAAATTGAATACGATTAATTAACTAATTGTTTAAGCTGATAATTGAGTCCAATAAATTAAACATGTTTTCATTAAGATAATTTTGACAGAAAAAAAAAACAATTGGAGGGAAAAAATTGGAAAGTGAAAAGAGTAAATTTAGGTGCTAAATGCTAATATCAAGTCCCACTCCGATAGACAACACATTCCAATGCCTTGATTTGTTTCAATTATTTTCCTACCGTAAAAATAAATAAATTGGCAAAAACATGTTCACTAGGTCCGTAATACAACTTAATTTTGGCATTTGTAGTTTGAGAAAGAGAAAAGGGGCATGGTTAGTTTTTAGAACTATGATGCCATTAAAAGAGAGTGGAAGCTGGAAGAAGGAGGGGAGAAGAAACAATTGCTAGCTCCTAGATTTGGACTTAGATTCTTGGCATGGAGAACAATTGATTACGAATCTCAAAGTTAAATAGTTTTGTTACTAGAATTGTTCCTTTTTGTCTTTTGAACTTTTTTGGGTTATTCTTTTGGTGGTGTTTTCTCGGCCTCATGTTCTTAGTCAACAATATTTTTGTATGGTGTTTTGTTCTATATAAACATATATAGAGAAAAAAGTTCGCGGGATGAGGTGAAAGAACTATACCTTGTATTGGTAATTTGTCTTCATTAAGAAAATCTTGGATGCTAAGTGGTGCTAATCATATTTAACTTTTTTTAGATTAGCATATATTGTTTGACTAATAGTACTAAACTTTGAACATTATACGCAAGAATCTTTTGTCTTTCTTCATCTGCTAAAATTGGGCAAACCTTGACAGAAGGAGATTGAACAAGAATTGGCTAAGGGTAGATATTTAACTTAATCTTTGTATTGTATATGTTAGATATTTTAATTTTTGAGATTAAAACAGTTTTCATTTATTAATTACTTAACAAAAGAAGTTGTTTACTTTATTGTTCACTGTCATTTTACACTAGCTAATATTGACTAAAGTGAAAAGTGTTTTTTAAAGTCAAAGATTACTGCAAGATTTTTTAAATATTGAAAACCAAAATATTTAACTCATATAATTTCGAAAATTAATATGAAGATATATGCACTCTTGTGAATACTTGATTTAATCAAGTTCATGATTTATTAATGTGTTAACCGTTAAAATTTCTACATCAAATCGATGACATGTTAACAGACAAGATGATATTCATATCAGAGTAGTATTTTGTTGAAGGGCCACAATCTGCATGATGTTCAATGAATTTTAATAGTAAGAAAGAAAAAGAAACCTCTAACCGAGCCATATTTCTTTTGTTTGAAAAGAGGTAGCGTTGATTTTGTTTTATACGTGGAAATCGGTACCAAGAGAGTTTATTACAACTCACGTACAATACTTAATCTATTGATCTAAACTCCTTCATAGGTAGCCAAGGATTTGATAGAAAGTAACTCTGTTTTCACTTAAAAAGTTTACTACAAACTTTATACTAAAGAGCTAGAAAAATAGGAACAGAAAAAAATGAGATATAAGATGGGTAATATAATGGAGAAAGAAAGAAAAATATTTGTAAAAATATTGTCTCCGTATGTGATGGTTTTTTTTAACATGAATGTCAAAATATATGAGCAAGCAGCCAACAAACAAATGATTTTCTAACTTGAAAAATCAAGGATGGACCGTTTTATGAATGACAAGGAAAAGAAAAAACATAGATTATAATATATGAGCAGTCACGCACGGCTTATTTAAATTTAATCGCTCATAATATTGTTACATCATAGATTATATTATACTACAATTTAAAATTTAATAAAGATGGGAGAAGAAAACTACGACTCAGATCATATCAACAAAAACATAAAAAAAAAAAATCATTAGTATAGACAAAGTAAACTCGTCAAATTAATCGGAAAATAAAATACTACAAATATTTTCATAATTAAAAACATTGGCAACTCTATATTTTCTATAATTGAATTGAGAATTTAAAGGTAAAGAAAAAGAATTACATGAAACACATTCCTCAAAATTAATTGGAAGATTTCTAAGTAGGCTCGTGATATATACATATTTAAAAAAAATTAAAATTTTAAAATATTCTTAATTTTTTAATTTTACACCCTCAATATTTAATTTAACATTTTTTCTTCTTTTCTACAGACCTCCTTTCCTCTTTTTTTTTTTTTTTTTAGTTTTCGCATCCAATTCTTTGCCTTTCCTCCGGTCTGCACCTATTTTAGCAGATAATTGTAATTTTTTTGATTTTACATTACTTTATTCTCCCTTTCTCTTTCAGTTTTCACACTATTATCTTTTTTCTCCTCTCTTTTAGTTTTCACACGCATCTAAAAAGTAAAACTAGTTTTTTATAACATTATAGACGTGTATGATTTCTTTAACAGTGTTGAAAGTGTCAAGTCAAATATAACTTCCTCGACAGTATTAAAAGTATCATGCCAAATGTGTGTTTTTTCTTCAAGTACTTCCCATGTTTACATGTCTAGAAAACACAATCAAATGATTTTAATGTTTCAGAAAGTATTTTTTGAAATTGTAAAATTAGTTTTCCTAAAAATATTTAGCAGAATTGTGTTTTAAGCATATTTTTATAAAGTACTTTCCAGAAAAATAAATTTAGTGTTCCGAAATAGTAAATTTAGTAGTTTCTAGAACATTAATTTTACTATTTTGGAAAATACTTTTTAGAACACTACAAGAAAAATGACTTATGCCTACACATAAAAAATGTCACTAAAAATCTAAATTCCATAGGTAAAGGTATCATGGATTTTGACTTACAGACATTGAAGTTGTCAACTTTGAGGGGGCATATAACAAATAAGCTATAGGAGATATGCAAATTCATGATGAAGAAACCTGTGAACGGAGACATGATTCGAGACTTAGAACGGAGACATGATTCAGAACGGACATGAGCGAGGAATGGGTATGGAGTAATTCAAAATAGGGAAAGGAAACGTCAAAACTGGGTTCTGTGGCTTTTGGGGTTGGGTTGGGCGGCTCTGATGATGGGCCTCACCATACATGGCCCAGGTCCATTACTTCTTTTATTTTGTACACTTCCTTTGTATTTTTTATTTATTTTCTTTTTGTCATAAATACTTCTTTCTAGAAATTAGGTTTTTGAATTAAATTTTAACATTCTAAAAACTATTTCAGAATTACATTTGGGTTGCGTTAGGGGTGATCAAAATTTTCCTACCCTACAAAAAATGGTGAAAGAAATACATTTCGGGTTGGTATTATTTATGGGGTATCATAAATAAAGGATACGTTGCAAGATGGCTAATTTTGTGTGGGTGTAGTGCAGGTCGAAATAAAGTACCCTGTTGAAATAAACCCTAATTATTTAATTCTAATTTTTAATTATATATTTTGTATTGATATTGATATTCTATGAAATTAATTAGTCTTATATATAATTATTTATTTGTTTTACATGGATTTTTATTTATATAAAATAATTGTAGGTATAAATTTTGTAAATTTTTTACCTACATTGACAATTTGTTGGTAGAAGAACTTTAAGTTGTATTTAGTTTTGCCTACACCAAACAAAAGTGGGTATAGATTTTTGAGTTATACCTACATTAAACATTTGTAGGTAAATTCAGGTCTATAGGTAAAAGTGTCTGTGGCACGGGTTATTTTTTTTTGTAGTGGAAGTGTGTTATTTTACATACTTTCATAATGTACTTTTCAG